TAGACGTGTAGACGGTGGTGTCGTTCACTAACGGGGAAGACCGAGGACCACCCAGGGACCTCTAAGAACGTGTAGACGGTGGTGTCATTCACTAACGGGGAAGACCGAGGAAGGAAAGGTACAAGTGAAATCGGGCCCAGGAGAAAAATGGGGTTAGAAACACGAATCTGGGGTCACTTTCATCCGGCAGGTGAGAGGATGCAATACTTGAGAGAAGCCCCATTTACAGGGACCGAGAGGAAGCTGCCTACCCAGTGAGCTAGACCCAGAGAGGGGCCAGAGAATGGGGACCTTCCGAGAACTAGGTGCTCGGGCCAGGGCTTTCCAAGGCCTCGGGTTTTGAGAAGGGACGGAGATGCGTCCGTAAGTGGAAACGCCTTCGGTCACAAAGGCGAGAATCCGGGACTGTGAAAGGCTTTGAAATTTTAGCAGAAAGTCAGAGAGGTGGTGGCTCTCAAGCCCCTGCAGGCTCCAGCCCCAAAGGAAATGGGGACACCTTGTGTTAATGTGATTTGTTCCAAAGCTCTCCACATAGGGGCAGGAGGTGGGAATGCATTGAGAGGCATCTTTTCCTGCCACGTTCTCATCCCCTTAGTCCCTCTTACCGAGGATACATTTTTAAAAATGTTTTGTTTTTACAGCTGGAAGCCTTCTCCGAGCTCTGCTGTTAGCCTGTCCGCGCCTCTGGAAGTTTTTCTCTTTATGCTGCCACTAACATTTGAGCAGGAAGTTGATTATCTCAGAAGGAGCTGGTGCTGGGTTTGATCTTGCTTGGTCTGATGTTAGGGGATCTACGGTCATTTCCTAGTTTCTTCTGTCCCCTTTTATTACTGATGCCTCTTCTGCTCAGAAGAGATGTTAGGGAAGCTTCAGTAGCTAACAAAACTCCTCTTTATGCCTTTCCTACTATACTCGAAGCCGAAACGCTGCCTGAAAGATCTATATTTATACAGGAAACACGTTAGGTGCTTCCTTTTCTTAGGTGGCCTCCCTGTTTGACAATCAAAGGATCCAGAGAATCCCTGCCAAGAGGCTGTCTTGTTCCGCCAAAAGGCTCCTGTGTGTTTCCATCATCCCCATCTTACTTAGCTGCTGCTTCCCGGGAGAAAACCTGGCTGCGGCTTGGGGCTGCGGTAGGGGAAGCAGCAGTGACAGACTGAATAAGTGTGGCCGTTAATGTTGAGTGACTGGTCCCCCACCCCCATCCCCGCAGCGAACCCACCGATCAGTAAATCACTCCGGGAGACACGCTCTGATCTGAAGTCCACCTTCCATCTTTCCATCCTGACCCAGAAACGGTTCTGAAGCCACCGTGGGGCAGCTCAAGAAAACACAGCTGTTACCCACCCACTCCTCCTGTCCACCTGACACACCCGGCCACGTTACAGAGGTGAGATTTCGGATGTGTGTGCTCGGCTAGGAATCCTGACCGAATATCTGGGCCGCCTCCTGGGTAAGGCCCCATCGCTGATCTCCACCAATCCAAGAGATGTGGTTTTCCCCCCGAAACAGTGTCCACAGATAAGTCTTCACAGTACTTCATATGTTGCTTTTCTTTTTAACTGTTCTGAGTTTGGCACACGTTGAAGAGAAGGCAGAAGTATGGGGGTGGAGGTGAGAGTTGTGGGATTTACTCGTCCTGGAGTTCTCACAGAATGCGTCTACCTGCAGTGAGGATGTTCATAAGAAGGGACATAATGAGTGGGCAGATGGCGCCTGTCCTGCTGTGTGGTCCTCCTGAGCCCAGCCCTGCGTGGTTCACAGAGAAGAATCTTGGGGTTGAGGGGGACCTTAGCTGGGCTTCCTCAGTCCCCCTTCCACCTGGTGGGGTCACTGCTACAGTCTGGTTGATACTTCTTGGGGTCATTAGGTCAGAAAACAGGTGGTTGAACCTGGGAGAGGAGAGCACCGTGGGCTTTGGCGTGACAAACTGGATTCAACGACTGTGAGTTAGGTACCTCCAGAGCCTCCCTTCCCCATCTGTGAAATGAAGCCTGCTGGTTGTTGGGAGGTGAAATGGGGAAGGATGCACATCAGGGGCCTCGCCCGGACTCGCAGAGCGAGTGCCTAACACGCGACTGCGTTACAGTGAGCTCGCAGTATCCCCATGGCCTAGGCGCCTTGTGTGCATGAGCAAGGGAGACGCTGAGGTCCTGAATGGAGACTGTGGGTCCTCAGCCTTCGGAGGGGCAGGGCTGGAGCCAGGGGAGGGCCCTGCTGTTTCCCTTCCCTGTGCCCAGATCTGCAGGAAGATGGCAAACCTGGTGTCGTCGAGTCGATTCCGAATCACAGCGACCCTACAGGACAGAGTAGAACTGCCCCATAGGGTTTCCACGGAGCGGGCTGGTGGAGCCGAACTACCGACTTTTTGGTTAGCAGCCAAATGCTTAACCACTGCGCCACCAGGGCCCCCAGATCTGCAGAGCATTCCAGAATGAAGCCCCAAAGAAGGGTGGAAGAACAGAATCACGACGTGGTGAGCAAGGCTTGAACGCGGCGAGAAGCAAGGACCGCGGCCGCCCCTGATAGGTGTGTCTCCCAAGCCTCATTCTCTTCGCTGCCCTTCTCCCCCTTCCCCCAGAGGCACACAGCCCCTACCCTCAGCCTTCCAGGCCTCAATGCTTTTAAACTTTTCTTTATTTAGACAGAAAAGACCAACTCTTTAAAAGTAAAATGCAATAAATAAATAAGCATAGAGAATTGTCTGAAACTGACTGCCAGTTTCCCCGTAACCGTCCCCACCCCCACCCCATTTTCTTTTCCCGAAAACCTCTTCCTAAAGAAAATGATCAGGTAATAAACCCCTTCAGCCCTCCCCGCATCCCCCCTCCCAGATACCCGATTACCCCCGAAACCAAAGGGCGAGATAAGAGAGAAGGACCAAGGGTAACAACCCCCAGCAGAGCTGGCAGCGTCCGGGCCGGGCCGCCTGGTAACGCACGGGTGGTAGTGGTATTTACACGAGGGGACCAGCAGAGACTGTAAACATTTTAGGGGTTCAGGGGGAGGTCTTTTCCTCATGAAAGTAGGAGGGTCTCCTCAGGGCTCCCCCACACTGTCCTCAGAGGGAGCCCTTGGGGGAGGCAGTGAGTTTTAGGGCTGGGAGCCCAGGATTGAGGGATGGCCTACCTCTAGCTGAGGGTGGAGGGGAGTGTGGAACCAGCCTCTGAGGAACCCCTAATGTGGGGAAGAGGCTGGGGCGCAGTGGGGGTGAGGAGTGTGTGGGAGGCCCCAGCTGTAGCGCAGACCCCCCAACCCCCAGTGGGGGAGGCAAGTACGGAAAGCTGGGTACAGAGGCCTGCCACAGGAGCCCCAGCAGAAGGCAGCTACTCCAGAGCCTTCCCGCCTGTTCCCTGCTCCCTCACAAAGGCCAAAAGGGCACCTGGGAGGAGACGGGCCCCTGGAGCCAGGGAAGCAAAGCTATGGCCCTTCAGGAGAGGCCAGCGGCAGGGCATGGGGCCGACGGGTGTGCTGTGACCCCAGGGCCCCATCAAGGCCCAGGGCAGATGTGCAGAGGGCCCGGGCCAGTCATGGGAAGAGGGGTGACGTTCCCCTTGCTCTGGTATCTCCAGACCTGTGGAGGAAGGAAACGTGGGTGAAGCGGGGGTATGGCTGCCCGTACAGGTCAGAGGGAAAAAGGAGCTAAGGGTGGGTGCTGGGCTGTGGGGTGGGGCTGCCGGGGGAGGCAGGTCTTCGAAAGCCTCTGTCCTAACTGAGCCACCCGGCTGCCCAGCCATTAG